ACATGGGGGTACAAGTATCTTTTTCAATCAGTGTTTTTGTGTCTTTTGGATAGATACCTAGGAGTGGGATTGCTGGGTCGTAGGGAAGCTCCATGTTTATCTGCCCTGTTTTTTGATCGGCTTATTTGTTTTTGTAGATTTTTATGATTTTTGTTTATCTTTGTTATCTGTCCTTTGTCAGAAATATAGTGTGAAGATGTTTTCTACCATTCACTAGGGTGTCTTTGCATGTAGTCATGGTTTCTTTCTGTGCACAGAAGTTTTTCAGTTTGATGATGACTTTGTTTATCTTCTCATTTGGTTTCCTTACTGTTGGGGATGAATCTATAAAGGTATAACTAAAGCTTATATGATAAAATATGCCCATGTTTTCTTCTATATCTTTTTATGGTTTCAGGTTTTACATCCAAGTCTTTTATCCATTTTGAATTGATTTTTGCATATGGTGTGAAAGTGTTCTGTTTTCATTCTTATACATATAGCTGTCCAATTTCCCCAACATTATTTACTAAAGAGGTTGCTCTTAGTCCAAAGTATATACTAGCTCCTTTGCTATAGATTTACTTTCCCTTTAGGTGTAAATTTATTTCTGGCCTTTCAATTCTATTCCATTGGTGTGTGTCTATTTTTGTTACATTACTAGGCTTTTAAAAATTATTTTGGCTTTATAATAGAGCTTAAGGTCTAGAAATGTGATACCTCCATTCCCTTTCTTCTCTGTCAAGATTGCTTTTGCTATTCAGGGTCTTTTGTGGTTCCATATGAATTTCAGTAGTATTTGCCTGCTTCTTTGAAACGCCATTGATATTATTGGGATTGCATTGAATCTGTATATTTGTTTGGTAGAATGGCAATTTTGACAATGTTGTCTTCCAATTCATGAGCAGGGAATATCTTTCCATTTCCTTGTGTCTTATATTTCAACAATGTCTTACAGTTTTCTTTGTATTTATTTTTTACATCCTTTGTTAGGTTTACTCATTAATTTAATTTTGTTATGTAATTGTAAATGAGATAACTTTATTTCTTCATCTTCTCATAGTTTGTGTATAGGAAGACAGTTGATTTAGGTATTTTGATTTTTAACCCTACCACTTTGCTAAGTTGATTTATTATTCAAATAGTTTATCTGTGGAATCTTCAGGGTTTTTCATGTTTATTGTCATGTCATCTGCAAGTAATGGTAACATTACTTTTCTTTCCCAATTCAGATTTCTTTTATATCTTCTCTTGTCTTATTGTTATAATACCATGTTCAGCAATGGTGAGAGTGGACATCTTTTTATCATTCTGTTCTTGCATAATTGAGCTACCTAATCCCAATCCCACTTATCTCTCTTTTGAGTGATCCTCAGTATTTCTTTCTAATAACATAACTTATAAAGCTAATGCCTGCCTGTAGACAAAAGGAATAGCTACTGCCAAAGTGTCCTATTAGTGTTTGGCAGCCTAAAAATCATGAAGTTCTCCATAAAACTTTAGGTCCATGGTCATCCCTGGTGGTGCAGGGTTCAAAGTCTCAGTACTATCAAGCTTTCTGAAGCCACTGTGTCCTAAGTTCTCTTCCTGCCAACGAGTAACCCACATGGCTCAGCAGACCTCTCCTATCTCGCCAACTGCTCCCTCATCCGTTTATTTCAGTAGATCTACCTGCTCTCCACTCAGTCTCTGGTGAATCCTTTCAACCCTGCCCTGTACCTCTGGCCTACACCCTAGTTCTTACAGGCATAAACAAATCTTCTTCAAAAAAAAAAAAAAGAGTTAGGGCCAGGTTTAATTTTCTGGTTGACAATGGGAGTCCTATGCAAAGGCTTAGAGTCTAGGGCTTATATTAATACCACTCCCACCCCTTAGTTTTATGCCAACATTTTAAGAAGAAAATTTTTTAAGGATTTATTTATGCATACAGAGTTGGAGTACAGGCCTGAGGTGTGTGTGTGTGGGGGGGGGGGGTTGAGAGGATTCACCAGAGATAGAGTGGGACGCACAACTGGTAGGTTGATAAAGTACACTGCTGAGAGGAACAGCAGTAGGTCAGGAGAGGTCTGCCACACCATGTGGGTCACCTCCCTGGCTGGGATCGAACTCATGGGGTATTGAGCTTGGGCTGAAGTGGCTGCAGCTAACTCCTTAGTGCTGAGCTTTAACCCGTTGCATCACCAGGGAGGGCCCTAAGATGAAATTTTTGTATCTATGCCTTTGTTGAAAGAATTTCAGGATGAAATTCTATTAATTCCCCTTTTAAAGACATTTCAATGCAAATTCGAGGTATCAATATAATTTCCCCCTAAACACTTCAGCAAGCATATCGTTATTTAGAGTTTAATATTTGTTTTCAGCCTTTGCTTTTCATGTAAAATTCACGTACATTGAAATGTCCAAATCTGAAGTGCTCACACCTGAATTTTGACAAATGATAAATCTGTATAACCCAATCCTATCAAGATAGAGAAGATCCCAGACCCTCATTTTTTTCTACCCAAACTACTTCTGCTTGACTTCCTTATCATCTAGGAGTTAAAGTAACCAAAAAAAAAAAAAAAAAAACTTGTCAGTGCTTCCAGTATAAATATAGATCAATGTTTCATCATAGATAAGCAGATTTCTCCATTTTCTAACGTACTTTGTGTTAAATTGTATAAGAATGTTTTAAGGCAGGGGACTGAGTAAGTATCTTTTCAGTTTTTAAATAAATTATTATTTTGGAAAATACTCTATCTTGGTGCAAATACTTTACATTAACTTAATTACATATTTTAAAAGACAAGAGCTCTGTTTTAATGAAATGCAAGGGCATTCATAGGAAGGAAACAGGGGGAAGAGAAAGGAAGTGGAAGTTATATTGGCAAGATTACCTAAATATCAGTGTGATGTGTTAACGTGTTTTTAATTGTTTATGTATTATGTATAACTGATCTCACTACATTATCATAGTCTTTCTAGATAATAGTGGCATGCCATTTTTTTCAAGCATATCAGTATTTTATAATGTGCTTCTAGGAAATAGCCACTAAATTCCTCTTACCATTACTCTTAGGTGTTCATAATTTTTAGCTGCTCATCACTTTATTTTTTATGCTTGGTAAAATCTATTATTTTTCTTATTTTTGATTTGGTGTCACATAGTTTATACCAACATATTTAACATAGGAGAAAAATTAAAAATTTTTGCCTGAATTTTATGAGGAGCAATTTATATTTTTAATAAAATAATCTGGTCTCAAAAGAAGAAACTGTGGCAAAAGTAACTTGTGATATTTCCATAATAAAAAGTTATAGCAAACACACAGGCATTTGCATATATTTCCTGAAATATTGCCTACTGGCTTTGTCGTCGGTGCTGGTAAGTCCATTTCAAGGATGTCGCCCTTAGTCCATTAGTTTGGATAATGAGCCCTATAAAGTACATTTATAACTTGTGGCACTGCAAGGGAATGGATTCTAATTTTCATCCTTTTATCTAGACACAATGAAAGAAGGTCAATGGAGGGTTCTCTATGATTCATTGTCCCAATACATATCAGATGACAGAGACCTGATAATGTTCGTGCATAAGTGTTTTCCTTATTTGGAAACAGTACTTGAAAGAAATCTTTCTATGATCATCCTTTGAAGTAAAGTGGAAACAGATATTAAAAGACGTTTTTACCCTTTTTTTCTTTTTAAAACATTATCACACATGTGACCAGACAGCTGTTCTTGAACAAGAGAGAAAGCAAGGCTTAACAGTAACATAAAAAGCCTTTAGTGACTTTTATGAACTGTGAATGATTTAACAAGTTATTTAATAAACTTTTCTCTTCCCCTTATATATGATAAGAACAAAAGCCTATTTTCTAAGAAAGGCTTCCACATTCCTAAACATTACAAAAGATTACACTTTTCTTTCCTACCTTTACTCTTATTAGCACCATTGAAATAAGCATGTAAGTTCCATTCATGTTTATTTTGTATTTTAAAAGACTAAATTAGGAATGAGAATATGTATTCTGTAGTTTAGTGTCAGTTTTGTGCCTCAAATGTGAAGTAGTAGAGAATTTTTAATCATGTCATCCAGGAAGTTAGTTTTAGATTTAAAATTGGTACCTGATTACGGTTATTCTCTCAATTATTAATGAAGACTTTTTTGCTATACTTATCTTTTTCATAGATGTAAAGCAATCATAGATCAATTTGGTCAGAGAATAATCGCTAAGCATTTCCTTGTGGAAGACAGTTACTTTTCTGAGAACACGTGCTCACATGTGCAATACAGGTAAGGAACCCTTCCATCTACTATCCAGGGGAAGATAAAAGTTAAGAAAATTCGGGCCCTCCCTGGTGGCGCAGTGGGTTAAAGCACAGCACTAAGAAGCTAAAGCCACTTCCGCCTGAGTTCGATCCCGCCTACCCCGGAGGTGACCACATGGTGAGGCAGACCTCTCCTGACCCGCCCGCTGCTCCCCTCAGCAGTGTACTTCGTCGATCTGCCTGTTCTGCTCCCCACTCTGTCTCTGGTGAATCCTCTCACCATCCACATCTCTCTGGCCTGTACCCCAGTTCTGTATGAATAAATAAATAAATCTTTAAAAAAAAAGTTAAGAAAATTCACCAGTGTGATTACACTGACACTTTTGCATGACTCTGTCCATCACAAAGATATTTTCAGTATATCCTTGCTCTGGGTATATTTTCAGGATATACCTGTTTTGGGGAAGCCTATCCTAACTTCATCTCCTTTGCATCAGCTGGGGACCATCTTCAGGTTACACATCCTCCTTCCATGAGCCAAGAACTTGTTTAGAGGAGGTGACACTTTTCATATGACTTAACTTTGAAACATGCCTTCTGGTAGTTATATAGCTATAAATGAAATGTATCTGTGGCATCTGAATAACTGATTTTTTTTTTCTCGTGCATTACAGACAGATCTCCAGGGCTATCCTGATTACAGATAGATCTGTACTAAACGCAGATTCTGATCAGCAGGTAATTTCAATTCTATACTTTTTAATAACATGTAACTAATTTAACATACATTGTAATATGTATAAATTAATATTGGTGAAATAAAATTCAGTAAGCTGTGTGTACAAATAATCTTGGTTTCATAAGTATTTTCTTCTGTTGGAACACATAATTGTGTACTATGTAAGATTTATTTGAGGAAAATTGAACTACATTCTGGTTTTCAATAGCTTTTTTTTTTGGCACAAGTAGTTTATTTGGGAAGCAATATAAAGGAAATACCTATGGGAAAGTGGGAAAAATAGAGGAAAAAGAAGGAAGAAATAAATGTTAGTATCATTTGATAACACACTACTGTCAACAATTGAAGCTTAATTCTGCTGAGGAACTCCTAGAAACAGCAGAAAACGCATGTACAGTTCTCTTCTACTAAAATCTTGAGTGTAATATTATATATACCTAGCAACTCCCAGTTCATCATTGCTTGAGGGCTGCTTTCTGGAAATTCTTTAACTCTCCAAAACTTTGTCACCTGTTTCTGTGAATTGGAAATATATTGCTATGGGAAGACATAAAGTATTTCCAGAGCGTACGTTTAAAAATCTTGGAGGAAAAGGCTTTCTGGTAGCCAACGCTATAGCAGTGGTTGGCAGCCCATGTAAATGACAATAAGAATGAGTTTCAGCGTGTTTCTAGTTCCAGTATCTTCTTATGACCATTGTTCATTTCAGTACTTTCATCCTCTTCCTCATCCCCAGTTCCACAGGAATGTCTTGTGCCTGTGGAGTTTCCTCAGTTTGAACACTTAATTTTTATAGATACGCCCCCCTTCCTTCTGACCGTATTTCACAGTGACTGATAAAAATCAGCTTATTTTTTTGTGAATGTTAATTGTATTTTATTGGGTTGCTAAAAATGGGTTTCTAAATTCCCTAAGTTGGAAGCTTTCTGTAATGTAAAGCTTATATATATGTTATATATGTGAACAATAATACTTTATTTAAATCACTTAGCAAACAATGAATGACTTTTATATGTCACATACATGTCAGCTTCTCAGGAGACAGGAGTAACCTTGACATCATTTCTGTCTTCATAGCTTCCATTCTGGAGGATGCAGATATAGTTCAGCCTGATAAGTGTGAATAAGGAATTGTACAGCACCTGTCTTAGCAATCTCACACTGTCCTATAATAGCCGGTTGATTTGTCTGAGATACAGTTAAGTCAACTGTATCTGAGTTACACTTTGTGCATAGGTTGAAGAGTGACAGGCAGAAAAGTGATTAAAGTAAATAGAGAATTCTGAAGAAGCTAAGCTACAAAGAATAAGAGAGAGGGGGAGTGGTCTCTACAGAAGGATGTGGGAGTGGAAATGGCTTTTCCCTAAAAACTTAGTGTGTATTTCAGTTGATGAGATGGAGATAGTAGAGATAGAAAGACTGAATATGCGAAAGGAAAAGGTAAGATAATTGATGCAGCAATGTTCAGTAAAGAAGAGAGGATGGGATTCAGAAAATCATTGCCTTTACATGGGATGTGAAACACCTTGCAATAAGAAGTGAATGCAGAATGTAGATTTGGGAGTTGCCATCTGATGGGCTCCATTTCTTTAAATTATAAGGTGCAGTCGTCACCTCAAGATTGGAATGTAAGGGGATGATGAGTCAAGGCTTCAGGACAGGTATAGAATAATTAGTGTGGTGGGTTTGACAATGACCTATCTTATGGTCAGGTGACTGGGCAATGTTAATGGCCCAGGTGAACCTGGAAGTCATGGGTTTACTGAGGGATTAATCTGTTTCTATCCTTCCTGCTCTTTTATTCTCTTTCTTACCCAAATCAATGTGCCCAGTGACCTACTTTCCCCTTGGTTTCCTACCATGTTATCAGTTCCCTTCTGCCCTCTTCCTTTTCCATGTCCTAAATGCTATGATGGGTCTTCTGATCTGCTGTTCCTCCAGTACCTGTTATTCCCATATGGCATTGTTCTTCCACTATGACCCATGGAAGAAAATTCCCTCTCTGGATGAGGCTCTAATCTCTACTGGGATCACGAAGGACTGGTTGAGAAGACCACCTAATCACATGGACTGGCACCACCTCATAGTGACAAGTGCATACCTCATTCATCTGGACCCTCAGGACTCACAGTTAGCTTTTTTCCAATGGTTTCTCTCCCTCTCCCCTCATTGTCTACTCCAGGTATTTACTTTTGCTTTTCTCCCTGGCCCTTTCACCTGACACCCCGCCCTAGACTTAGAACAGTAAGCTGCCCACTAATAATGCCCTTGACTTCCTCCTGCTCCACCCCTCATAATTTATATATACTAGCACAGACTCTAATGAGGGAGTGCCTCCCTTTTCCAAGGCCAATTCTTTTCACAGGTTCCCTTGGCACCCATGCTTATAGTCATGGCACTCTGTACGCCTGTTCTCTCTCGTGCATTTTCAGCCTCTCCCCGTTATTGGCACCTTCTCTCAATCTGTATAATGTGCCAGCATTTTATGTTACAAAAACAAAAGAACAAAAAATGTGTTTCCTTGACTTCCCCCAGCTCTAGCATCTCAGACTCTCCCTTCCCTGGTCTTATCAGTATCTAATAAGACAGTATCTATACATGATGCATCCAGCTCCTTCTAATTCATGTCTAGATTAACCTGGTTTGTATCATCACATTCCTACCACAGTTTCCCTCACTAAGTTCTTTGTAATAATCAGGGCCACAGTTTAACTTTTGGTTCTTTTCTACCAGGTCTTTTCTGGTGTCATTTAATAATGGTGATTTTTCCCTTTTCTCTTGAAACTCTATATTCTTTGGCTGTCAACCATTGTCCTTTCTTAGATCGCCTCATGGCTGAGAGATATTCTCTCTCTCTGCTTCCTTTATGGACTCTATCCTCTCCTTATTATTGGGCTTCCTCAGTTTTTGCTCAAGTTCATAGTATCTGTTGTCTACACACACACACACCCTGCTTGACACCATTCACTCATGGTTTCAACTCGCATGAATATTGCTGCCAGTCATTTCTGTAATTCCCAGGAGTGTTAGCCTACATCCCAAACTTCCTGTTGGACATCTCTCCAAAGAATTCCTCAAACTGAACATGTGCAAAACGAACTCATCATTTTCCCCCTGAGAACTATTTCAGTATTGCCTCACCTCCATGAGTAGCTCTGGCATTCTTACATTATCACCTCCTTTCTCCCATCTCTTCCATCTCATGAGCCTTCAGGTCCTGGCAGTGTACATCCTAGAAGTTGCTCCAATCTGCTTTTCCTCTCAGTTCTTTTTCTTGCTGCTCCAGTTACAGAACTCCTTATCTCTGTCCCTTTCTAGATGTTCTTCCTTTCATCTAGTGAAATTCCTTTCATCTCTCTGAAATTCATCATTCTCACAGAGTGATTAAAATGAATACCTGACTTGCCTTTGTTTCCTATATGAGGTATTTTTTTCCTCTCTTTAAAATTTTGGAAGTGGCACTTCCTGATGGTGCGGCGGGTTGGAGCACGGCACTGCAAAGCTGGCCATGGCCACTTCAATGCAAGTTCGATCCCCAGCCCCGAAGGTGATCCGCACAGTGCAGCAGACCTCTCCTGTCTCACCCACTAATCCCCTCAGCAGTGTACTTTGTTGACCTGCTTGTTCTGCTCCCTGCTCTGTCTCTGGTGAATCCTCTCACCACCTCTGTACCTCTGGCCTGTACCCCAGTTTTGTATGCATAAATAAATAAGAAAAAAAAAATTTTTATTAAATAAATTTTTTGAAGTATAGAGAGACTTAGATAAGACTTAGAGGAAAGAATAGGTGAAAGTCTAGATAAAATTTTTGGAAATGGTATTATGGGGTTGAAGAAATTCTTTTTCAATGAATTTTGTAATGTCTCTTGGACTTGAGATAATGTCTTTAGAGTTCAGGACACAGAAGATGCTGTCATAGGCGGTTACTGATTGTCTCTCAACATGTCTTAGTGTCTCTTCTCAAATGTTAAAGTACAACTTTTATCTTTTGAGATAGCACTGGGTTATAGCACTGTATAAGTTTTAGGAGGACAGCTTCATACTTGCCCAAATATGTATAACACATCACACCCACTATTGAAGATATAGTCAGTGTCATTTGGTATATGTTGAGATATGCTTTGCTTATTTCCGTGTCTGGGATTTATGGCATTTTTAATTTGTAGTACTGTATAACTGCTATTTTTAGCCATTAGGAATAATGAGACTTGATTTATGATGACCTGATTTCAGCTTTCAAATGCGTATCATTAGAAGTAATGTGATAATTGCATCCTGTGAAAATAATAAATGAAGGATTTAATAAATATTAAAGAGATTTGAAGTTTTTATTGTCTGTTAATTCTGAGTGCAAATACTTGATACATAAATATGCAGAGATTGAACATTAAGACTCCTGTGCATGTTACATATTTCAAACTCTTTTCCCAAAATTAAGTCTTTACAAGATAACTTCTTTCGAACATCAATGACTATGTGAAAAGGACATTCATTTTGAATATTAACTACACTTTAGTGATAGAAAATGAAACTGAGATCTAACACTTATGTCTGTATTTTCTGTCTGCTTTTTAGATTTCTATTTTGACTGTACCAGCAGAGGAACCAGGAATGTTTCCTGTTCGGGTCATTGAGTTATGCTCTTCAACAATGACATGCATGAAAGGCACATGTAAGCATAATAAAGTTGGGTTGTCTTTTGTGTTTTTTTAGGAAGTAAAGGGGCTCCCGTTATGTTTATATTTTGCCATATATTTTTTTACTCACAGTATTTGTTCATAGTGCGAATGTTCATACTGAAAGTCATTTCATACATGTTTTTGCCTTTAAGCATTTCTCTGGCTAAATCCTCATAGACATCATTGTTTAAGTACTTCAGTGAAAGAGTTTCTGTAATTCTATAGTGCTTCCTGTTGTTTTTCTTTTTTCTTTTTTTTTTTAAAGATTTATTTATTTGTGCATACAGAAATGGGGTGCAGGCCAGAGGCTCAGGGGCGGTGAGAGGCTTCACCAGGGACAGAGTGGGGAACAGAACAGGCAGATCGACAAAGTACACTGCTGAGGGG